CTAGAAATTATCGTGATAAATTTTTAGTCCATATCGCCCATCCCTATCTGACACCCTCGCCTCCAAAGCTACAAAAATACTACACATCCCATTATCACTAAAGGAGGCAGAGGAATAACTGAACATCTGACACAGAGAGCAGGAGAGAGGAGAGGAAGAAGGAAGAGTTGGAAAAGAGTCAAGAGAACGAGAGAGAGAAGCCATAGCAATGCTAAGCTAGCGCTAGCCTAGGCTAGCTACTCCTTACTAATAGAAATAAAACCGTGTGAAAGCAACAAGTGCTCAATAGAGAAGAGCAGCAGAAGGCGCTACGTTTTAATTCTTTACAGTTAGTTACTGAGATACATAGATATCACAGAAAAAAATAACTTTATTCAGACAGAGATGGAATGGACAGAAGCTGCTAAGCAGTCAGAACAGGAAGTGAACATGATACTTCTTACCGAGGGCAGCAGCAGCACCCTCTAGTGGCAGTAGCGTTGCTAAGCAATCAGGAATCGGGTTTGATTTTTTTAATTTGGCAAAATGTTAATTTGATTTTTTACCCGACTTAATGAACTACCATTTCCTACTAAATGAGAAAAGTCATAATTGATTATCCAGAGACTACAGTCTGTACTCACGTTCTTGTGAAATGAGAAATGGCCTAAATCTGTTTTTTGTCTTTGGTACTGCTTAAACTGACCTTCCTGATGTCATTTCCTGTTTTCCATTAACCTCCTGATTGGGTTCACAGGGTTTCTCCAAAGCCATGGGTGGTTTTGTTAAGCTGGGTCTGATCAACTCTGAGCCCAGTCCAGTTCTGCAGGACCTTGAATCTACCATTTCCTGGGTAAGAGCTCTGCACTCTCCTTAATGCATGTAGCTGTTGATGAGTGGCTCCCTGCTGCTTCTGACTTTAAGGCAAATGGTCTGATCTGTTAGGCTTCGCTGATTTTCCCTCCTGCCACTAAACCGTTCATTTAGAGATGAGATGGAGAAAGAAAGGAACATTAGAGATGGAGACATTGAGGACTGAGGAACTGAAGAGCAGAGCAGAAACATCAGACAGTGTTTTACTGCTTGTTTGTTTCCTTCTGTGTGCAGAAAGAGCTCCTCTGTCAGCAGATGGGCTTACCTCCATCCATCTCCCAGGAAGCCTTCGAGGACGCCGTCTACAAAAGGATCGGAGAGGACCAGTTCAGGATGGACACGCTGAGATGGTGCGAAACCACAGACGCTCTGACAGAGTGTTTGACAGACAGAAGAACAAGCTAGCTTCCACGTCAATTTGGTTCCCATGGAGGTCTGTCGGTTCCGATCCGAATCCGTGGAGGTCTGTCGGTTCCGATCCGAATCCGTGGAGGTCTGTCGGTTCCGATCCGAATCCGTGGAGGTCTGTCGGTTCCGATCC